AGAGAGAGAGAGAGAGAGAGAGAGAGAGAGAGAGAGAGAGAGAGAGAGAGAGAGAGAGAGAGAGACTTACAGACAATATATAAATTTGCGCGCGCATTGAGAGAACGGCCACAAATGAAATACCATGACGCATACGAAACAGTACACAAACAACAACGTATAATAACCGATACGTATACACGCCGGAAAAGTGAATATAACATGCAAATTGAAAGTAAAAGTTTTGCTACTCACGGGCAGAGCGAGAGCAAATAATAAAATGGTCATACGTTGAGATAAATAATAATATTGTTTGTTTTTTTTTCGTTTATTTCTGCACCGGGAATTTTGTGTGGTATTGATGCGAAATTGTACACGCGCGCGCCCGTGTTCGCACTCTTCGTGCACAAACAACAACGAAAAAAAAGCCATAAAAAAGTAGCAACCTCTCCACACACACACACACGTAACGGGCCACCAAAACCAGAATGACCGCAATAATATTAAAGTCAAACAAACGGAATCGCGGACCTATTCAAACACAAAAAATCCATTGAAATAATATGATATTCAAAATGAAGGCGAGCAGCGTGCGACGAGAGTAAATAGCACGTTTTCAAATGATGAAAATAAAAGAGTTACATTTCTTTTCTTTTGGGCGCCTTTTTTTTATTATCGTTGTGTCAAGCATCGCGGTTTCTATGAAAATATACCCTCGTATTTGTTTATTTTCTTCTTCTTCTCATTTCGCAATACATTCTTTACTCATCATTTATGATAGTTTTTTCAATGGGAACTCTTTCAACATTCGTACTTTTCGAAATCTGGTGTCTGAAACAATGTCTGAGCATTTAAGTGTGTGCTCAAATGCCAATGGGCTAAAAATGCACCTTTCAACAATAAATATTGCGGTTGATTTTGTTCTTTGAAAATGTGTGCATTACTGATCGATTGCAATCAATTGTTTTGAAAATCGATTCGAAATGGTTCTGAAGGTTTTTCAATATTCAAAATGTAAATCGATGCCAAAATGCTATTAAATTATTAGATCAGTTGTAGCCGTTGACAGTTTTTCATGCAAATGCATTTATGCCATTTTGTGATAATTTCGCTTTTTTTTCATGTGTGTCGATTTGTGCGTTGGTTGATAATTTACAATAATTCGACAGAACGCCTCGTATCAATTGCATATTTTATGTGTGACGCACAAAATTGCACATACACACACAACAGACAGAACATTTAAAAAAAAGGTTCAGCAAACGAACAAAAGAAGTGTATGTGTGTGTATAGAAACGAAGAAAAAAAATATGCACAACCAATTTTCTGAACGAAAGAGAATGGTTTTTGTTTTAAGAATGAAGAGAAGTGATATTTTATTTTTCATGTGGTTTTTTGCATATTGTTAAGGTCACAATGCGAATGAAATATATAAATATGCGATGACTTCATTTCATGTCATACCGGATTCATGTTTACATCTTCTTAACACAAATACACGCCACATACGATATATGTAAATAGCAGCCGTGCAACAGAGAGACACGACAGACACACACGGTTGGTGTGTTAATTTTGTTATGATTTCAGTGTTCGGTGAGTGTGTTGGTTTAATTTGCGGTCATACGTTGACGCCTTTCTTTACAAAGTTAAGCCTAAGCTATGTCTCAGCCACATTTATCATACTTGAATGTGTATTTGCACATGCACGTAGAACTTAGTTATATTAAACAAAAAATCCAGTTGTGCATCCCTAATGAATTCTACCGCTGATCCGAGTCAGAAAATTACAAGCTGGTAACATTCGGCCAACCCAATTGATTAGATTCATAATAAAAATTTGTGATATGTCGATGCGGCCGCCTGCAAATTGGCATTTAACTATCTTCCCATGCACAAATCCAATTTATATTCTCATTTACAAACGGCAGACCCGATAAAAACAGCTATAATTGCCTTTTATTAATTTAAGCATTTACTTTGAATGAGCGGCAATGTGTTTTTTGTTCATAAACAAAAAAAAAGTGAGATATGAAATGTGTGCATGCCACACATTAAACATCGAATGACACAATGTTGAATATAAGTGCGTTGTATTGGATGTCGTGCAAATAAAGTCGCGCAATGTTTCGTTGTTATATCGTCTATAGCATCGTATCAAAAAAGCGATTGGGCAAAAGATCATAATAATTTTTTTTCTTTTTACTTCGAATAATTAAGAATTTTGTATGAGTGAAAGTATATGTTGTGCGTTATGTCTGACACCACACGCACGCATGCCATGCACGATGTATGGTTTTCCGTATTGTGTTTTCTTCACAAATGTCGAATATTTTTCCGCTCTTTCCATATCGTCATCATCGACATTATGCAATCGACCAAACGACAGACGAACAGAAAGTGTTGAAATTATCCAAACAAAATGGTTTTTTAAGTAGCACACACACTCTTCTAAACATCGTTTTCATCGTCTATTTTTTTTTTCGTTCACCGTACATATGGTTATTTTGTTTTTGGTAACAATTGGAATTGCGGGCGAGCATTTTTAATGATGTGACACTATCGGTCGTCACGAAGTCGTTAGATAGAAGGCTTTTTTTCATTTTCAAAATGCGAATGGCATTGTTTTTGACCATCGTCGACGATTTGACGATTTGATGTCGATACTATGTAGTTCATTTCAATCGATTAAATTCATCGAGTAGGAGCTCAACACCACACAATACTTGATCCATAAATCTGTGATCAAATCCGCTATTAATGAGTGTAAGTCCAAAGTATGGCGACCTTGACACAACCAACTCCCAAGAATTCCATCGTGTTCTCCGAAAACAATGCAATTTCATTCATCTTTTGCGTCTTTTCTCTCTCGCATTTTTAAATGTGTCAATGCATTGTTCACATCGTTCTATGGCTATATGGCGATCATGTGTAAGCATCAATTCGATTCGTTAAGCAGTAGCGAGCAAAAAGAATTACGTACGTACACATTCATGTCAATTTCACAAGGGAAACGATGACGACAATAAATGGTCGAAGCATGTGCCATGTGTCATCACCTTTTTTTAAGTGGTCTTTTTCGTTCAGTCTTGTT